CCTGCCTGGCATAGAATTACCCTTATGGAGAAAATGTCGTCGAAAAATAAAATTTTGGTATTTTGTGGTTATGATAGTTGAATAGTGCCGTTGTTCTGGGGAGAGGGGCAGTGGACGCCGCGGCGCTGCCCGTGCAATACGAGGATTTCTCGAGCCATGGGGAATGTAGACAGTACAGGGAAGGGATGAGGCGAATTGTTTCAACTGTGTGTGTGTGAAAAGGTGGAATGTGCGAGTTTATACTCTTTGGATGAGAGGACGCAGACATCCGCACGCCGCGACGGCGACTGCCCCTTCCCAACTACATTAGCTTCTCGGAAATGGTTATCTCATTAACCTCATAAATGGTTCCAGTTTCAAAATCGGAATCTACCGGGCAACCTGATACTTGGCCGAAGGAAGACCAACGCAACAATCAGGGCTTTTGAACTTACATGAAGAATCCTCTATTCTCTCATATTCGATAAGAGTTTGAACATTTAATTGCTGGTAAAAATTTTGGACTCTAGCGTACTAGGATTACGAAATATAGCAAAATGGAATGTTAGGGTATATGTTCCACGTCGCAATCTACCGGTCATATGGAGGTATTCTCGTCTCCTCCGGTACTTTGCGTCGCATATTCCTTCCCTCCTCCTCCCCAGATAAACTTGAACCCTTGTGCCACGTTATCATTTCCATTGAAGAAATTCAGCGATGTACAATTGCCTTCAGCCGTTTTATTTCTTCAGGTTCTGCCGATATTACGATGAAGTTTCTACAAGCTCAGATAGCTCAAAAGAGGGTTCAAATACAGCAAGGAATGGTAATGAGTAGGCAGAAGGTCGCAACTTTTTCTCGGACTAATTGTACAACTGTAGCAAAGAACAAGTGTAGCACCAGTTGTGGACTTGTCAGCCCGCAACAGGGCCCCAATCAACATGCGTCGAATCCAGCCTGTGCGCGCCCTTCCGATAACGGACTGCGCTCCTCCATCATTTTTGCCCAAAGGGGCAGTCGACGACAGTGTAGGTTCCACATTCATTCAAGACTTAATCTGCTTGATCGCTGAGTGTAAAAGCGTGACACAGAAGAGAAGTGCTCACCGAATTCAGGTCAATCTCTTTGGTGAATACATTGTCAAGAATGAGTATCAACCAGCGGTCCCAAATGAGTACATCGTATGCAAGCGAAAGGCTGAGGAACGAGAAGCACGTGAAAGGCATGCCAGAGAAGTGGCGGAAAGGTATGTTTTTGTATGTCAGGAGCTATTTCTGCTCATAATTTTGAACCATGTTCGCAAGCAATGCATTTTGATTAGAACACTGCTGTCTTGTTGGTGCTACGAAGTAAGGCAGCGCTCGTACTTCGTAACTTCCCTACAGTCTGAATGTCGAATAAATATCTATCAACTGCGAGACAACTAAGTCACACAATCAACATATGTAAACCTCACTCGTGTTGCAAATGCGTCGCAGAGTATTACTGCGGCCAGTCATATACCAGCTCCCTGTTTAAATAGCTGTGGATCGAGTTAAATTCGAAAAAACATAAGGGCATTTGAATCGGAAATTTCTTGACGCAGGTCGCTTACTGCTGTATCCAAGGTTCAGAGTGAAGCATAGGCAAGACAGACCCCGAGGGGAAGGGAGAGGGGGGGGGGGGATTAACGGCCTTACGTACTCCATTTCATGCTGAACCTGGAGCTCGAGCGCATTTACCGATTATTTTCTTTCAATGGTGCGGTAAATTGGTGAAGTATATGACAAATTATGCACTTTTCACGTTTTATTTTCACTTTATCTTTCTCCGGGTCCTCCTCTGCTTCTTTATTTTTACAAGACCGCCGGAATGGAAACATCTTCCAGTACTCATTGAATATTTTTTCTTCACTAAGCCAATTCTAAGAGGTATTAGTCGCGTCCATGTTCGTTTTAGCATAGGTTACCGAAACTCAATTTTTAGTTTAGATAACTGGTGAGCTCTGATATCTCGTGTTGGGATGGGACTGTGTACAGGTTGTAAAAGTGCATGTAGGTGTGTACAAGTATGGCTAGGTGTATCGTGAAGTATGTTAGGCCATAAACACTAACGTCGCCCCATCTCCTGGCGACTTTTTCCTGATTGAGTAGTTCGGTCTGAAGTTTTGCGGAGCTCCACGGATATTGAGCAGGCTCCTTTCCTCGAAAAGCGAGGAAATTAACCCAACGTTCGTCGCGAATGACCTTGGTTGATAGACGTCGACGATGTACGAAAGGTCTCTATGGCTCGCGAAGTGTCGCTGATGCCAACCTCGTTACTTCAACTTCCGTGAAGAGGAACTTTATTTGTGTGGAAAGTGGAAGTACAGCCATTTGTAAAAGATAACTACGGATTCACCTCGGTCCTAGCAACATTTTAGAAATGTCGTTCGCTCCCTTCGCCATTCAGAAGGAAGTGTACGCTTGAACATCTTCAAGAGAAGATGGTTTCGATCGGTAGAAATGGCAGCTATGGATCACGGATAGTCTCTTTTTTGTGCTATAGTTGAGCCTCCAGTTTACAGGGAACGGTATTGCAGCAGAGAAAAATGCTCTTAAACTACAGTACGCACCCATACTATGTCAAGTTCCAGAAGACAGGTGAAAACCTTGATGTAGAGGACAGAAAAAATGCATTTTGCCCATGTAGCAATTCACCGATTTTTTTGCCGCCTTAGCGCGGCCGTTGAAGGATGTCTTACAACAAATTATTCCTCGAAAGTTCCTCTAAAGTAGGCGGCCCTGCTTCACTGATCTTATGGTCTTCAGAATATAACGTCTTTACCATCGTCGTCGAGCACAAGGAGACTATGGTAATTGTTTCAGCCTGAAGCTCTTACATAATTTCCTGGATCATTCACCGTTGAACCTGGAGAGATCAGCTTTGACTAAGCAAACGCTCTCCCAACTAGCATTTCTGGGAACATCGTTGATGTTCGACTCATCGAGGACTCCAGTGCGCTCGACTCGTCCACCACGTTTCCGTGGCAGAGTTTATGTCGTCCACGTAGAAGGCCACTATGATATTTTTGGACAAATGGAACGTACCCTTCAGTTCTAAGTCTAGAGCATTCGGTGTGAATCTAACAAAGCATGAAATCCATTCAAATGTGGAGACAAAATTTCTTTTTCCTATTGTCCCTGCCCTGCACAAGCCGGGAGAACTTAATCATCTTCCCAGTCTTTGTGATTGAAATTGTCGGATAAAATTTTCGGGTTGTCATGTGGTGACCAAATTAAATTTATACACTTATTTTTATTATTATTAAATTTATACACTCAACCATGGTTGGATCTGTACCGTTTGTTTGTAGGCTGAGCCGTGACCACAAGGAGGAAGCGAGAAAGAGGCAGAAGGGTGCTGCTATCGCTCCACCACAAGCGCTCCTCGAACCACCATCCCCTCCAAAAGTGCGCTTTTTCCAATTTCAATCGCTGCTTTTATTTCATTCGAATTTTTTTAGGAGTCGAATTCACCGCCAAATTCGATGCCGCCTCCAGCATTCTTACCGTCCTTTGGCAAGGCTACTTCCAAAGGCCTTGGTGTTGCTGCCAACATTATGAGCAAATTTGGCTATAAACATGGCGGCGGACTCGGTAAGTTAAAGTAGAGAATGTGTTCATGATAATAAGTTTATTGGCTCTTTGCAGGACGTGATGAGCAAGGAATGAGCACAGCTCTCTCTGTTGAAAAACTAGGGAAGAACGCG